CGGCGGCGGAATTCTCAAACTTGACTCATTACCCAGGAATTTCCTGTTACTCTCTGCTACTGCCTTATCGGGGAGCGGAGTAGCGAACTCGGCGCTCGGGGCAGGGCTGTTAGGGGGGCCCAGGAAGGAGAGGGGGTAAGAAAAGTAAAGTGTGTGTGTGGGGGGGCTGAATGTGGTGGGTGATTGTGATGGTGGGGGCGGGCAGGAGAGGAGAGAAGATTTGGCACGACGCGAGGGCGCATCCGTGCGCGTCTCTGGGTGATGGTGCCGCCGAATTCCACGGCAGGGGGGCACTCAGCGCCCTGTCCGGGGAGCTCCTTGCGGGCGGAGCGCGCGCGGTGCCGCTCAGCGCTCCGGCAGTGCCGCGGGGCGGCGCTCCCCCTCGACGCTCGCGGGTTGAAGGACGCTCGCGGTCATGAATCGTCGTCGTCGGTATCAGTCACGGTCAATCCACTGCTGGATGAAGGCCTTCCCCTTCAAGCCGCCGTCACCCGCACAATCCTGCGATGCAACGGCCCACTCAGCACCTGCTCGGTGCACGTGCGTTGTTGTTTGGATCGCTCCATCTCCCCGGTTGCGACCTCGCAGACGCGTGCCACGAGTAACGCGCTCGCGTGGTGGGAAAGTCAAACTGATATCCACTGCTGGATGAAGGCCCAAACAACCATGCCGGTCATCGGGGCTTGTTTGACCATACCTCACCGCGCAGGGCAGTGAGGGCAGTGAAGCAGAGTGGACAATGCCCGGTTCAGATGTCACTCGCCACTGATGTTAGCCGTGATCGGAGATCGAACTCGGGTGGCTGGGTTCGTAGTGCTCTGGGAAAACCACTGCACTACCGCTCCCCATTACCCAAACACACTCACGCAAGCTTAAACACTCACACATATACAGTCACATACACGTATACACTCACGTAACATATACATTTATACACAAAGGCAAACATCCCCCATATAACCTTAACATACTGTTGGGGCAAGTGCTGTTGACGAGCACTTCTGAAGGCGGGTGGCCTGCACCACCACGCCCGACCGCCTTTGTCTCCCCAATGGCGATGTTTACACACCGCACCCGGTACAAATTTGAGGCTGAGTCGACCTAGGGGGTGCGCAGGACCGGTTCAGATTCTTATCACATCCACACATATTGTCTCGCTATGATGTGTACATAATCATAACGCTCTAGATTACACGTATCCCCATCATGCGGTTATCTCGAGTCGCCAGCAGTTGATTGTGGTTATGGTGGCAGGGCCGGGGGTGAGTGAAGGGGTAATGTGTGTGGGTGTGTGTGCCAGTGTTTTTGTGGTGCTGGCCACTCACCCCCTCGTGAGCCCTGCCGGCATTCATAGGTGCTACTCGCTCACAGCACTTGTCCCAATAGCCTTTAAAGGCTATAGGGGGATTGTTTGTCTTTGGCACTTTAGCACTTTGCCAGAAACAGGGGTGACTCACAGCTCTCATCGCTTCCATCGCTGCTCGCCGCAGCATGAGCAGTGTCATCGGCAGAAGCAGCAGTCGCATAATCATGATCGTCGGCGGTAATATCTGTAGTGTCATCATCAGCATCAGTAGCAGCAGAGCAGTCGTCAGGGTACTACGAATCGAGGCGACCTCCCGGGCCCCGCGCTTTTGGGGGATCACACTTCGACGTCGCAGTGTCAGATGTGATGCTGCTGGTTTAGTTTTAAGGGGTCGGAGAGCCTTACGGGGTGTGATTTGACCCGCAGCATCATCACCAGTATCGACTTTGATCAGTTGCAGAACAATCAGCATCATTCGCAGTAGAAGCATCAGCAGCAGCGCAGCAGCAGCATCGTCAATTGCTATGAGTAGCAGCAGCAGAAACTGCAGCATTTTCAGCAGCATCATCGTAATCGCATCAGCAGCCACAGTATGTGTGTGGGTGATCATATTTTTGGGGTGCGTACTTTCGGGAGCGATTCCGTCACCTCGCTTGGGATATTGCCAATGATGGACACGCACCACCACCACCACCAACCACCACCACCAACCATCACCACCAACCACCACCGCGGTGCCCTCCGTGCGATGGATGATACCGTGTGGTCGCTCTGCCGCGAGTGATCCCAAGCGTGCCGCCTCCTCGTTCACTCGCGGGGAGGCGCGGTGTGCCCATATAAGGCGCAGGCAGAGGGACAGCAGCAGCCTGACCGATGTCTTTCGCCTCCCTCCCCAGCAACAATGACTGCTGCACGGAGCAGGCGTGGGGAGCCGCCGTGGGGTGGCAGTGGCCGCACTCGCTCCCCACGGCGAGAAGGACGAGGGCTCGGTTCACGCCACGGGCGTCCCACGTTGCGTGCAGTTTGGGCGTTCTCTCGCCTTGTTCGGGCATGGCGTTCCTCTGGGTTTACCGGTTTACTCCCATAAGCTAAATCATAATAATTGGTATGAGCCAAACATCCCAATACTGAAACATTACCTGGGAATTACTCACTTGGGATCACACTCAGCGGCAATATCGCCCCCGCTACTGCAAAAAGTTGTCAGGACCCTTCTGAAAGAGGGTCTTGAGACTCAGTGAAGCTTTCCTGGATTCGCAAGCGCAATAACAAAGATTAGAAAGGCGATGATGATGATGATACCACCACATTGCGTGTCACTACATCCACCCACTCACCAAACTGCAGGTCACAACACTTCTCTCTCTTCCTTCCTAGCTCTGTTCCACTTTGAAATTCTCTCTCCAATGATCATCGTGTCTCTTTCCCCCAAGCTCTTACAATAATAACCTTTCTCGTTTTAAGAAACGTGTCAACGACTATCCATTGCGACTGTCACGGTGCCGTTTGTTGCTGGCCAATTGACGTGTTTGGAGTTTGGGCTCTGTGCTCAGCGACTGTGTTGAAGAGCGACCTGGGTCACCAAAACAACCAAAACTAGAACAAAACATAACGTGCAGCAATTCAGTAAATAGAGATCAGAACGCAAACACAGCCGCCGGTTCGCGAAGAACGTTCTCTCGAGCTGTGCCCGTTCACGATCACACAGCCCGGGCCGCCGTGTGAGCATCATCACCAGCATCATCACCAGCATCATCACCAGAATCATTACCAGCATCATTACCAGCATCATCACCAGCATCATCACCAGCATCATCACGACCGCCACGCGTAGAGGGTGTCGGTGTGGGTGAGGCGCACTGGTGGTGGCGCGCACACAACGCACAGCGCGCGCACAACGCACAGCGCGCGCACAACGCACAGCGCGCGCACAACGCACAGCGCGCGCACAACGCACAGCGCGCGCACAACGCACAGCGCGCGCACAACGCACAGCGCGCGCACAACGCACAGCGCGCGCACAACGCACAGCGCGCGCACAACGCACAGCGCGCGCACAACGCACAGCGCGCGCACAACGCACAGCGCGCGCACAACGCACAGCGCGCGCACAACGCACAGCGCGCGCACAACGCACAGCGCGCGCACAACGCACAGCGCGCGCACAACGCACAGCGCGCGCACAACGCACAGCGCGCGCACAACGCACAGCGCGCGCACAACGCACAGCGCGCGCACAACGCACAGCGCGCGCACAACGCACAGCGCGCGCACACGCAAGCGTGGCGACCACCGTGGAAGCTGCAGCTGAGCCCGGCGGCTGAGCGACTCCCCGGTGGTCGGGGTGGAACTTCCGGCCCGATAGGATCTGCGAGCGACGCCCTCGCGCGAAGCTCGTGCGTGCCTTCCCGGGCACCTTCATCCAGCGGTGGATAGTTCGCGCTGATGATGGAGATGATGCGGCAATGTTTACGTGCGTCACATTGCCTCTCATCTCTCACAACAGTTTCGCAACCAATTGTATCTATAATAAAGGGTTTTGGGGTCCATCGCGTAAATATATATGCGTCCTTAAACCCGCCACCACTCGACAGCCAATGTCGGTTTATCACGTAAAAAAAACATGCCAATTCGTTACCCACAACATTAAAACTTGTAAGTTTTACACCGGTGTGCTGAACTAGTAACGAATTATATTCTTGGTTCTTTCGGTATATTCTTGGTTCTTTCAAGTAGAAGGGAAACAATAAAATAATAAAAATATAAAACAATACAATTATCACGACGTTTCGACTGCAACACAAGCAATCATAATCATGTGTGAAAACCACAACAAGAACATTTGAAAAAAGTGGCTTTTTTAACGTTCTACGTGGCTTTACCAAAAGAACCAAGAGTATGAATCCCTGCAGTCACGAAAGCTTTAAATCAAAATTTAGTAACGAATTGGCACGTTTTGCTTACGTGACAAACCGACGAATTGTCGAGTGGTGGCGGGTTTCAGGACGCATTGATATTTACGCGATCGAAGCCAAGAACCTCTACTATGGATCTCTCACACCATCTGGCAGTGGATGGATCTTGGCTGGTCGCTTTGTTAGGAAGCGACACCGCTAGAGTACAGCACCTGACAGGAAGCCGGGAGGTCTCACGGTGATGTATTGAGCAGCAGGGACGCCTGGCCACTCACGGCCCACTGCCCGGCCCAACATAATGTAGTATTTTGGAAATTCTGATTATTATCATCACGACGCTTGTTGCCCCACAATAGCGTTGCTGAGTCTCAAGCCTCTTTTTCAGGAGGTCCTGCCAAGTTCGACGCAGTGGGGCGATGTTGCTGCTGTGGGTGATCCCAATGGAGTGATTTGCCGGTACATTTTCAGCATTTGGATATGGTTTTGGCCAATACCAGTTCCACTGCGGCGTGTGGGTTTAGCTATGGGAAGAAACCGGAGAATTCGGAGGAAACCCGAGCAGAACAGGGGCATAGCGTATAAACTCCACACAGAAAGGCACCTGAGTCATAAATCGAACCCAGGGTCCAGTTAGCTGTGGAGCGCCAGTGTAGGCACTGCGCTCCCTTGCGCCGCCCTGCATCATTATGGCTGATGTAAGTTATTCACAGAGCTTGGGGCGGTACCCTGGAGAGAGCGGACAGGCTTGGTGACTATCGACGCTCGATGTTCTTTCGCAGGTGACCGAGGCGCCTGGGGGAGATCCGCACGTGAACGACCGCGGGCCCCGAGACGAGGCGACGCTCAGCATGGCCGACTGCGTCCCGCACTGGGCTCCCGTGGGGGCCAACGGGGGGCCCTTGGGGAAACCCCCAAGGGGACCCCCAGGGGCGCGGACCCCTCCACCCGAGACGCACGCGGAGGCCAGTTCCTTGAGCGGAGATGCTAGCGCTGCCGAGGGGCTGACTCTCTACGTGAGTCTCGATGCGGCATCAACGGCAGTGGCGCTTTGACTCAACCCGTGGCTGTCCACAGCCATTTCAACAGTAATGATTGCTTTTCGGGATAGTCGTAACAAGATTTGGCAGCAATTAGGTGCCATTTAGCCATAGCCTGGCTTATATTCAGGCTTGCTGGATTTGTACACAGCGTTACAATTACATTTGTCTGTGTTGGGTGGTGGAGGATCTTGACGACACAAATTTGGCCAGATCATTTCATCGTGGCCTAACCCAAACCTCCGTTACGAATCATTATTTGGTGAATGTAGACTTAATACCTTGTCATAGGTGTCCAATTGGTGTTTGAACATCTGAATACCTCGTGCATTATTACCAGAAAGGGTGATTTGATTATGAGATGATTTTATTTTTGTGGGATTTTCTCAACGTTATTCGGATAAACGCAAGCTGAGGTGCTTGATTAGCTAATTACTATAATGCGCCTGGAACATCCCCGACTTGTAGGCACGGTGTGTCCAGGGTGGCGAGTCGTGTCAGCAGGTGCAGTGCCCATTCAGAACTCACAGCAGCGCACCACCACGTGTTTGAAAACCGTCTGCTGAAGCATATATCACAGAACTACTTCTGGGATCCATCGAGGAGGCCTTCATCCAGCAGTGGCGCGGCTCATAATGATGGTGACGATGATATGTATATACGTGTGTGTGTGCGTATGTACGGGGTATGGGTTCACTGCATATGTGTACGTGTGGGGGTAGTGACACAAGCTCGATTCCCGTCCCACCCCAACATCAGGAGCAATTATCTGAATTGGTCCTGGACCTGCCCTAGGTCGACTCAGCCTTAAATGAGTACTACTTGTTGCTGTGTGTGTGTGTGTGTTAAACACCAGCAGTGGGGAGACAGGTGGGCATGGCTTCACCATTCACATTGTGGCATCTTGAGGAATGACCACATATTTGAGATGCTTTCATCCAACAGTGCATAGAGCATAGCTCACGACGATGGCAATGACGAGGAAGATGATAACGATGATGACGATGATGTTGATGATGATGATGATAATGACGATGATGATAACGAAGATGACGATGAGGACGACGATAATGTTGACGATAATGATGACAATAATGATGACGACAATGATTATAACGACGATGACGACGACGACGACGACGATGTGTGCTCGTCCCAGGTGTGCTGGGGGTGCGGGGGCACCCTGCAGGAGGGCGAGCGTGCCGTCAGTGCCGGCAGTGCCGTCAGTGCCGGCGGGGAGGACGCGCGACGCATGTGGCACGTCCGCTGCTTCGTGTGCTCCACGTGCCGCGAGCCGCTCGCCAGCCTCCTCTACTACTGGGACAACGGCTCGCTCTTCTGCCACCTGCATTACCAGACCGGGGCCCAGGACATCCACCCTGCCGAAGAGGGGCAGGGGACGGGCGCCGAGGCACCGCCCGTGTGCGCGCGGTGCAATGAGGTGCCGCGTTTGTCCCGTCCCTCTCGTTTGCGTGGTCTCGTTTGTATTGTTGGGTTCCGTTTATTTTCTCATTTGTATTGTTTCATTGGGGCTGGTACGAGTGGCTGGTTAAATGGCTATGGTTAGGGTCAGTGATAGGGCTTGTCCTAGTGGCCGACTAGTTAGTTGGATAAGACTGGTTGGTCGGTTGGGGCTAATACTCCGAGCTGGTTAGCTAGCTGGTGAGGCGTAGCGGTGCTGCTGGCTGGCTGATGGCTGGCTGCTGAGGTACAGTATGGCGGTGGTGCTGGTGACTGGCTGGTGAGGCATGGAGGTGGTGCTGGTGGCTGACTGGTGAGGCATGGAGGTGGTGCTGGTGGCTGACTGGTGAGGCATGGAGGTGGTGCTGGTGGCTGACTGGTGAGGCATGGAGGTGGTGCTGGTGGCTGACTGGTGAGGTATGGAGGTGGTGCTGGTAGCTGGTGAGGCATGGAGGTGGTGCTGGTGGCTGGCTGGTGAGGCATGGAGGTGGTGCTGGTGGCTGACTGGTGAGGTATGGAGGTGGTGCTGGTGGCTGGCTGGTGAGGTATGGAGGTGGTGCTGGTGGCTGACTGGTGAGGTATGGAGGTGGTGCTGGTGGCTGACTGGTGAGGCATGGAGGTGGTGCTGGTGGCTGACTGGTGAGGCATGGAGGTGGTGCTGGTGGCTGGCTGGTGAGGCATGAAGGTGGAGGTGGTGCTGGTGGCTGGCTGGTGAGGTATGGAGGTGGTGCTGGTGGCTGGCTGGTGAGGTATGGAGGTGGTGCTGGTGGCTGGCTGGTGAGGCATGGAGGTGGTGCTGGTGGCTGGCTGGTGAGGTATGGAGGTGGTGCTGGTGGCTGGCTGGTGAGGTATGGAGGTGGTGCTGGTGGCTGACTGGTGAGGTATGGAGGTGGTGCTGGTGGCTGGCTGGTGAGGTATGGAGGTGGTGCTGGTGGATGACTGGTGAGGTATGGAGGTGGTGCTGGTGGCTGACTGGTGAGGCATGGAGGTGGTGCTGGTGGCTGGCTGGTGAGGCATGGAGGTGGTGCTGGTGGCTGGCTGGTGAGGTATGGAGGTGGTGCTGGTGGCTGGCTGGTGAGGTATGGAGGTGGTGCTGGTGGCTGACTGGTGAGGTATGGAGGTGGTGCTGGTGGCTGGCTGGTGAGGTATGGAGGTGGTGCTGGTGGCTGACTGGTGAGGTATGGAGGTGGTACTGGTGGCTGGCTGGTGAGGCATAGAGGTGGTGCTGGTGGCTGGTGAGGCATGGAGGTGGTGCTGGTGGCTGATTGGTGAGGCATGGAGGTGGTGCTGGTGGCTGGTGAGGTATGGAGGTGGTGCTGGTGGCTGACTGGCTGGAGGTGGTGCTGGTGGCTGACTGATGAGGCATGAATATAGTGCTGGTGGTTGACTGGTGAGGCATGGAGATGGTGCTGGTGGCTGACTGATGAGGCATGAAGGTGGTGCTGGTGGTTGACTGGTGAAGCATGGAGGTGGTGCTGGTGACTGGCTGGCTGGTGAGGCATGGAGGTGGTGCTGGTGACTGTCTGTTGAAGCATGGAGGTGGTGCTGGTGCTGGTGGCTGACTGGTGAGGTATGGAGGTGGTGCTGGTGGCTGCCTTGTAAGGTATGGAGGTGGTGCTGGTGGCTGTCTGGTGAGGTATGGAGGTGGTGCTGGTGGCTAACTGGTGAGGTATGGAGGTGGTGCTGGTGGCTGACTGGTGAGGTATGGAGGTGGTGCTGGTGGCTGGCTGGTGAGGCATAGAGGTGGTGCTGGTTGCTGTCTGGTGAAGCATGGAGGTGGTGGCTGGCTGGCTGGTGAGGCATGGCGGTGGTGCTGGTGGCTGGCTGGTGAGGCATGGAAGTGGTGCTGGTGGCTGGTGAGGTATGGCGGTGGTGCTGGTGGCTGGCTGGTGAGGCATGGAGGTGGCTGGCTGGTGAGGTATGGAGGTGGTGCTGGTGGCTGGCTGGTGAGGTATGGAGGTGGTGCTGGTGGCTGGCTGGTGAGGTATGGCGGTGGTGCTGGCTGGCTGGTGAAGCATGGAGGTGAGGAGTTGATCGCGACGCTGCGTTCCTTCTCGGCCGACGCTGCCGCTGTGCATGGCGCCCGCCCAGCCGATTGTGAGCTGCGAGTACACGCGTGCCGAGGGACGCTGCTGGCACTTGGACCACTTCTGCTGCCTGGAGTGCGGGGTGCAGCTGGCGGGGCAGACCTACGTGGCCGAGACAGAGCAGCCCGTCTGCCTGCAGTGCTACCGGAGCTCCTACGCCAAGGCGAGTGCCGCACCCTCACGGCCATCCCGTGCTTAACTCAAAATCTCTCCTTCCCTCGCTTCAATTCCCGACTCGGGACGTCTTTGTGTGTGAAGTTGGGGGAGCGGTAGTGTAGCGGTTAGCGCTCTGCGCTACGAACCCGATTCGCTCTCAATGTCAACACTGATTATCTGAACCGGTCCTGGGCCTCCGCTGGGTAGACTCGGTCTGAAATGAGTACCTGGTGCGATCTGTAAACATCGCCACTAGGGAGACAAAGGCGGCCCCGCGTGGTGTTGGTGACGCACACCCCTCGTGTACCTCGCCGGCCTTCATAGGTGCTCGCTAACAGCACTTGCCCCAACAGTCTGTTAAGACTATACGGGGGATATTTCTCTTTGCCTTGTGAGTGTGTGGGTGTTTGCCCGAGTGAGTGTGAGAGTGTGTGGAGCTTATTTGTTGTCCGTCCTCCTGTCCCGCATGGGTTTCTTCCTGGGTTCTGTTTCCTCCCATAGCTAAACCCACACACAGTGGGACTGGTATTGGTCAGACATCCCAATGCTGAATAATCACCCAAATGACTCATTTGGGTACACACACAGCAGCAGTAGCAACATCGCCTCCCCGACTGCGAAAACTTGGCAGGACCCTTCTGAAAGGGAGTCTTGAGACTCAGTGAAGCTCTCCTGCCTAAACAAGCAGAGTAATAATAGTAATAACTGCACAACCCACTGAGCCCATGACCGTTCACTTCATGGACGTGCCCTTGGCATGGGGGAGACTGACCCCGCGTTGCTAAACGACCGCTTCCCCCTTTCCCCTCCCGACCCCGTGACCTCGCGACCCCCCCGCCCCCGGCAGAGCTGCGAGGGCTGCGGTGGCGTCATCGACGCGGAGGAGGAGCGCGTGGCGCACGGCCCCCGTCAGTGGCACGCGCGTCCCTCCTGCTTCCGCTGCTCTGGTTGCAGCTGCGCCCTGGTGCAGCGGCGCTTCATCCCGGCCGGCACGCGGCTCTACTGCTCGCTGGGCTGCCGCGACGGCGTCCCCGGGGAGGGATAGCGAGCTGGGATGCTGCTGGGGTGGGGGGGATAGGAGGCCGTGAGGTAGGAGGGGTGCATTCCCAAAATGTCAGGGTTTTTTTTTGTAGGGCCCCACGTTAATAATAACACGTCACCTATTTTCTCTGGTGGATATTAAACCAAAATTTAAATTTCCGGGGTCTGAATGATCAGCCGCTGGCAGAGAGTGCGGTGGGTGGTTCCCCGAGCTGCCCGCTGGGGGGGACTCGTCGATCTGGGTGGTTGCCAGCGCTTCCAGGTGAATAGCTCTGGGTAGGGGGCTGTGTGGAGTGGGGGGACCTACATGGGGAGGGGGCAGATAGGGAGAGGGATAGAGAACTTTGCATCTTGGTGGCTCCTTGAACTACCACGGGAGTGGTTTAGGACTTTGGGTCTGGGTGGCTCATTGCACTACGGGGGGGGGGGGGGGGGGGGGTGATGATCAAAGGCAGCCGTAGGGATTCGTGAGATTGGTGCCGAGACGAGCTGCGAGCTGAAGACGGCTCGCAGCTCATGGTGCTGTGTGCGGCACTGCGCCATCCACCGCGTGACGTGTTCACGAGACGCGTGGTGATGTCACAGCCATGTGGCTCCGCGTGACTGGGACCACGTGGCTTTGAGCTGGCTCCCTTGAACCAGAGCCAAGCCTGAGCCGAACCCTGACTCACAAAACGAACCTTAAGGTCTCGCCACCGCCACCGTTTGCTTTTATATAACTGTCTTAAAAACAGAGTTCACGATCAGACAAACGGATTACAAAAAAAGCAACCATACAGTCGTTGTGCTTTCGGGGTGTTGTCGTCAAGATGGCGAAGAAATGTCTATGCTGAAGTCCTGCAGGAAGCGGTGCACGGCCTTGTGTGGCCGTGGAAGATGGCGTCAAATAACTACTTCTAAAGTCACTTCAATTGCCTCTTTCGCACACCAGGTGGCGGAGCGCCCTGGAGAGGTAGACAGCGCGTGGCAGCCAGCTGGAAGATTTTTCATCATCATAGTTTGAAAACGTATCATATTGTATTGTGTGCGGTCATTGGTGATGAGGCTGAGACCATCAGCTGAGACCATCAACTGAGACCCTAGCATTGAGAACCTGGTTTAAACAGATCTCAGTCTGTGTGAGTATGTCGGTCTCCGTGAGTCTGTGGGTCTCTAGGCTAGTCATTGGTGACATAGCTGATATCATCAACTCGCTACACTTGAGGTCCCGATTTTATTTCAGTCGGTTGTGAAACCTGGATTCGAACCGAAGATAAATGCGGAGCCAACTCAGAGTTTTCGGGATGGCCATTATGAACCCCCTGAGCCAACCGGCCACCTCAACACAGTGGTACAGGCAGCACGTCCTTCATAGGCCACTTACAGCCTCACCAACACCACCATCACCACCACCATCTGCTCCACAGAGTCATTGAAACTTACCCTCTCCAGCACCTACGCATACCGAGCTATGCTATATATTTTTAACTGTGTAATACATAAATAATGCATGTATCATGCAGTCACTTTGTACCACTAGTTTAAACTAATCACAACAAATAAACGTACTTGTATAATAATAATAAACAAAATGTCGTTATTGTTTTCCATCTCCCGGCGCGGCAAGTGAAACAATGAGTGGTGGGTGGCACGGACTGCAGCACGGACAACCAAGGCAGACCATGATGATGATGATGCACACCATGATGCAGCTGATGATGATGCTGATGATGCTGATGATGATGATGCAGCTGATGATGATGATGATGCACACTATGTTGCAGCTCATGATGATGCTGATGATGCAGCTGATTATAATGATGATGATGTAGCTGATGATGATGATGCAGCTGATGATGATGATGATACACACGATGATGCTGATGATGCAGCTGATTATGATGATGCACACTATAATGCAGCTGATGATGATGATGCTGATGATGCAGCTGATGATGATGCACACTATGATGGAGCTGATGATGATGATGCTGATGATGCAGCTGATGATGCAGCTTATGATGATGCAGCTTATGATGATGCAGCTGATGATGATGCTTCCACAGATGATGATGCAGCTGCTGCTGATGTTAGAAGTCACCAGGTGGCGGTATTGCCCGCGTGTGAGCTGACACAACGCACGCATTCCCCGCTGTCTACGTGGTGAATGTATCACGGGGCTGACAAATCACCTCCGCATCATATGCCGGTCTCTCCACGTCACATTAACTTTTTACACATCCCATCAGCCACACGGCCCTCTGGGAGTGCAATATTCCAGCAGCATTTGTTCAAAACCAGCAAAGACATTCAGTATCTCATCAGCTTCCTGTCTTTGCTGGTTTGAAGGTGTGGAGCAATGGCATAGACGTCTGCGGACTTCGCGACGAACTCAGCCACGCGAGTTCGATTCCCAGCCACGGCTAACATCAGTGGCGAGCGATATCTGAACCCAGCCCTAGACCCGCTCTCCTACTTCACCAACCCGCAGCATCGATCAGCGTGGTGAAGTATGGTGAAGTAGGGAGAAGTATGGTGAAGTATGATGAGGTATGGCGAAGTAGGGAGAAGTATGGTGAAGTATGGTGAAGTAGGGAGAAGTGTGGTGGAGTATGGTGGAGTTTGGTGAAATATGGTGAAGTATAGTGAAGTATGGTGAAGTGTGGTGAAGTAGGGAGAAGTATGGTGAAGTGTGGTGAAGTATGGTGAAATATGATGAGGTATGGTGAAGTAGGGTGAAGTAGGGTGAGGTATGGTGAAGTGTGGTGAAGTATGGTGAAGTATGGTGAGGTATGGTGAAGTAGGGAGAAGTGTGGTGAAGTATGGTGAAGTAGGGTGAAGTATGGTGAAGTATGGTGAAGTAGGGTGAGGTATGGTGAAGTATAGTGAAGTAGGGTGAGGTATGGTGAAGTATGGTGAAGTAGGGTGAGGTATGGTGAAGTATGGTGAAGTAGGGTGAGGTATGGTGAAGTATGGTGAAGTATGGTGAGGTATGGTGAAGTATGGTGAAGTGTGGTAAAGTATGGTGAAGTATGGTGAAGTAGGGTGAAGTATAGTGAAGTATGGTGAAGTATAGTGAAGTATGGTGAAGTATGGTCGTCGAAGGAATCCGAGTTGCTACCAGGAGTACGGTAGTGGCATTTTAGATCACCTGGAGTTTTGAGTTGGTGAGTGGAGAGGTGAGCGATGTGGAGAGGCGAAAGGATGCGGTGAGTGGGGAATGAGGGATGTGGTGGTGAGTGTGGAGGCGAGGGATGAGGTGTAAGCATGGATGATGCGGGTCACGGTTAGCGCCGGGGTGAGGAAGAGGGGTGAGGAGGAGGGGTGAGGAGGAGGGGTGAGGAGAAGGGGTGAGGAGGTGGGGTGAGGGGGAGGGGTGAGGAGGAGGGGTGCGGAGGAGGGGTGCGGAGGTGGGGTGAGGAGGTGGGGTGAGGAGGTGGGGTGAGGGGTGAGGTGGGGTGAGGTGGGGTGAGGTGGGGTGAGGTGGGGTGAGGTGGGGTGAGGTGGGATGAGGAGGTGGGGTGTGGAGTTGGGGTGAGGGGTGAGGAGGAGCGTGAGGGCCACCCACACGACGCTCCAATCACGCAACAAAGACAAAGGTCTCCCGCCTCGCCTTAACAGAGGCAAGTGATGTTAGCGAACACTTCTAAGTCCGAAACGGCACACAGTGAGTGGCCAGTATCACACCGGACGCCTTTGTCTTCCAAGTGCTCATCATGTTCAAGTGCTCATCGTGCCCAAGTGCTCATTTTTAAACACGGCAGCAGCTACTCGTCCAAGGCTGGATCGACTCCGGGGTGGGGAGACACAGGACATCGTCACCCATGTTGGTAGTGAGCGGGAATGGAACTCGGGTCGCCGGGTTCGTAGCGCAGCGCGCTAACCGCTACACCACCGCTCCCCACACAATAACACAGACACACAATGACGCACACACACACAGACACGCATAGCTCGCCACATCGGCCCCGATGATGTTTTGCGCTGCAATCCGAGGCGCGGGGTCTGAGGGGCACACGGGGGAAGCCACGCGGGGTGTTTAACATTGAGCCCAGCGCCTCGAACCCGGTTGGGCATGGCGGCACCACAACCAAAACCCTTGATGCCACCCTCAACACCTCCACCATCCTTGCGCATGGCGGGCAATGCTATTGAGGAGATCAGTCCCGAAGGGGGCTCCCTGCTGGCTACGGGAGGGCGTCGGGAGAGAGAGCAGCGCCATCCCAGAAGGGGATCGCGACTTGAGTCAGCGGCGGGTGGAGAAGTTTGTCGAGGCCTTCATGGTTGATGGGAGGGGTGGGTGGTTGTCTTTGGCAAGAACAACGTGTCAACTACCCCCACAAGTATGCAATGGTTACCTAGGTCGCAATGCACGGAGACAAGATACACAAGCGGACAATATCCCCCTGCAGACATCTGTCCCATCAATAAGCTCTCTTCACGTCGGTAGAAGCTATTTAATGATCGCGTGACGTGTGAGCCGACCCCACAAGTTCGCTGCCTCACCCCAAGCCACGCACGAGACTCCGCGCCTCACCCACAGATCGGCCAAGCCGCGGGCAGAATTCACGGAGGGCGCTGAGGTACGGGCGCAGCCTCACGGCCCCCTAAGCATCCTCGAATCTCACCTCCCAGACCCACACCTCCGATGAACACGGTGGGCTACGTACGATGCGAAAGAAGTTCTACATACATATGTCTGGAGGAACGCTGCTGATGTGCGAGCACAGTGGAACATCTTGGATAAGTGCCTCATTGGAGACCCAAAGCATCACACCTCATGGATTGGACATCCCTCCTCAGACACTGGGGTGGGACCATTGACATCAGGCCGATGTGCAGCACCGCTTCTTCATGATGATAAAGGCAAGGGCCCTCTGTTAGGTATGGGTCCTAGTTTGACGCAACACTCTCCAACGCATCATCCAAGCTAATCACCAGCGTTATTGGGGATAATGTAAGGGGAGAATATTTGTTGCTGGTCGATTGGAGTTTTTTGGCATCTTTGCGCCCTCCGCTCATCAACCTTGATTTTTTTTTAAGTATGCGCATTTTGTAAAGCATGTGAATTTTAAATTATCATGAATTCCAGGTTCGTTCCACTGCTACCCTGCCCCTCCCCCCACGTGGCCCCACTCGCTGGTTGTCGGTGGGAGGGATTAACCGGTTTGGCGTGAGGTTGCTCATTAATGCGCTTATTCGTCAGCACGTGTCTGTGTGTGTCTCTGTGTGTGCGTGTGTGTCTGTGTGTGTGTGCGTGTGTGTTGAGCGTGTGAGTGTCTGTGTGTGTGTGTCTGTGTGTGTGCGTGTGTGTCTGTGTGTCTGCGTGTGTGTCTGTGTGTCTGCGTGTGTGTTGTATGTGTGCGTGTGTGTTGAGTGTGTGAGTGTGTATGCGTGTGTGTTGAGTGTGTGAGTGTGTGTCTGTGTGTGTGCGTGTGTGTGTGTTGAGCGTGTGAGTGTCTGTGTGTGTGCGTGTGTGTTGAGCGTGTGTATGTCTGTGCGTGTGCGTGTCTGTGTGTGTGTGTGTCTGTGTGTGTGAGTGTGTGTCTGTGTGTGTGCGTGTGTGTTGAGTGTGTGTGTGCGTGTGTGTGTGTGCGTGTGTGTGTGTGTGTGCGTGTGTGTGCGTGTGTCTGTGCGTGTGTGTCTGTGCGTGTGCGTGTGTGTCTGTGCGTGTGTGTCTGTGTGTGTTAAGTGTGTGTGTGTTAAGTGTGTGTGTGTCTGTGGGTGTGTGTGTCTGTGCGGTCCTGCACAGATGCCATATTTTCTGTCCGTCTGCTACAGCAGAGGTGTAGGGAATTCCAACAAGACCTACATCTCTGCTTTATTGACCTGGTCAAGGCCTATGATACCATCAGTAGGCCTGGGCTCTGGGTTGTTCTTCGTGCTTTTAGAGTCCCTGACACTCTGCTCACGATCATTAAGGACCTTCATGATGGTGAGCGGGCCGGGTAAAACTACGTGTTCGGGAGTCAGAGCCATTCCCTGTACACCTTGGGGTGCGACAGGGATGTCCTCTGGCTCCCACAATATTTAACATATATGTTGACCACGTAGTTCGTGAAGCCTTCAATAGCTGTACCGGGGGAATCTCCATATGGTACAGATATAATGGGAGGCTGATCGATGCCCGGGTGCGGTCAAGGGATGGCTCCCTATTGCTCAACCACGTTATGTATGCTAATGATTTGGTAATAGCTGCTCATTCAGAGGAGGAGTTGGAGACGCTGCTGCTGAGACTGGAGCGTGCCACTAAGAGGTGGGGCCTTACCATCAGCCCCACCAAAACTAAGCACCTGCCTGGGTATTTTGTACCATTGGACACTACACCCCCACAACTCCCAATCGGTGATGGGGCAGTTGTGGAGCGAGTGGAGAGTTTCCCATACCTGAGCAGTGCGCTTATGACCGGCTCCAGTTTAACAGCAGAGGTCTCACTCCGAATCAGTCGAGCGGCAATATCTTTTCATCGGTTGCGTAACGCTGTGTGGAAGCTACCTGGTCTGTCGCTCCGCACTAAGCTTCAGGTCTTCTCGGCCACGGTCATTCCCTCCCTTCTCTACGCTTGCGAAACCTGGACCCCCCTAATGGAACATCTTCGCCGGTTAGAAACATTTAGGCTGGCCTGCCTACGATCCATCCTGGGTTTAACCAGACTGAATTGTGTGAGGAGCTCACGAATCCTTGAAAGATCTGGGCAGGGTCCCATCGGTGAGCTCCTCCGGCGGGGAAGGCTGCGATGCCT